AAGGTAAGGGTGGCACAACGTGTGCCCTTCACTCACACACACCCCAAAGCTGAAGGACACGATTTGCTGAGAAATGCCCAGGAGAAGCGAGAGTATTCCTGCCTACAGCTGGCAGGGGTAAGCAAGGGACATGACACTGGTGTCCTCTGAAGACAGCTGCTCCCCAGACACATTGGTCAGCTACAACGTGTGCAGCTGAAAGCGTAAGTCCTGGCCATATGTGCCCTCCACTGCACTGTGTGACCCCATCAGAGCCCTGGGCAAGGCAGTTCTGCCCCGTTTGCACACAGCGGGACCTTCGTGTGATCACACCCACACTCCCGGAAAGGCCACCGTCAGGACAGAGCCCCTCTGGACATCGTAATTATCTGTCCAGCCTCCAGCACACAAGGACCACACACAGCTTAGCAACTCCAGAAAACAGCCCCTCCCTGTGTCTGCGTGGACAGTCTCCCATTTACACACCCAGGAGGTGCCCATAGCCCTGAGCTTGAGTCATGGAAAGCAGGGCCTCAGGACCAGGATGGCAGGGTGCTATTCCTGAGCTCTGGAAGACCCCCTCACAGCACACTNGGCGCAGACGTCATCTTGAGCGGAGAAAGGCCATCATCCAGGACATCCCTGGCTTCTGGGCTAAAGTCGTATCCTTTGGGTTGTGTGTCGAGGGTGGCTGCCAAAGGGAGCTGGGGATGGAATGGGCAGAGCATATAGGGGAGGGGCCGAGGCGATGTCATATAAAAGAGCTGAAAGCGTGGGTGACTTCCCGCCCCTAGAGGTCGAGCATGAGCTAGTGATAGGGGCCAGGAGCACTGGTCCCCACTGGAAGGTAAGGGTGGCACAACGTGTGTCCTTCACTCACACACACCCCAAAGTTGAAGGACACGTTTTGCTGAGAAATTCCCAGGAGAAGCGAGAGTCGTCCTGCCCACAGCTGGCAGGGGTAAGCAAGGGACATGATACTGGTGTCCCCTGAAGACAGCTGCTCCCCAGACACATTGGTCAGCTACAACGTGTGCAGCTGAAAGCATAAGTCCTGGCCATATGTGCCTTCCACTGCACTGTGTGACCCCATCAAAGCCCCGGGTAAGGCAGTTCCGCCCCGTTTGCACACAGCGGGACCTTCGTGTAATCACACTCACACTCCTGGAAAGGCCACCGTCAGGACAGAGCCCCTCTGGACATCGAAAGTATCTGTCCAGCCTCCAGCACACAAGGACCACACACAGCTTAGCAACTCCAGAAAACAGCCCCTCCTTGTCTCTGCGTGGATAGTCTCCCATTTACACACCCCTGAGTTTCCCATAGTCCTGAGCCTGAGTCATGGAAAGCAGGGGCTCAGGACCAGGATGGCAGGGTGCAATTCCTGAGGTCTGAAAGACCCCCTCGCAGCACACTGGGCTTGCAATGTACAAGTGCTCAGTTGCTTCTATGGCCTGCCTGCATAGCAAAGGAACGCTCCTTGACCTGAGGCAGATCGTGAACCACCCCCAGATGGCAGCCGTGATCAGTGCCCAAGATGAGGATGTGCTTAGCTACATGACCGACCTGCAGGTCAGAGCGGGAAGACTGAGTGTGAAAGAGGGACAGCTGGGAAGTAGAAGTGATTTATCCCATAAAACCACATTGCTATCTCAGGACAACCAGAGAACATTTCTTCCTTTCTTGCCTCTTTCCACTGTC